GGAGAGAATGGTGCGGCAATGAAGGAGTGAAAGCCCAGAATCCCTGTGTATGTTCATTGAAACTAATAAAATTTAATAATAATAATAATAAAAACTCTATTTCTCATTTAATAGGATCAAGATGAGATCTTTTAGCCTATGTGTGGTCTTTTCCATGTTGTGCTGCAAATCTAAAGTATATATCTTTTTTTCTCCAGAGGACTTCTCCTGTGAAGATGTCCTGCCTTAGAAAGCTGATCAAAGCTTACTATGAGTAAAATTGATTCAACTAGAGTGTGTATACTTCAGAGTGAATGAGCATATGACACAGAGTGGAGAATGAGAAAGGTAACTACATATAAGACAATAGAAAGATTTGCTTGAAAAATTATAACTCAAAATGATTCAAATATCTTTTTAAAGAATATGAAACAAGAATAAATTTTTTTCAGCTGAATTGAAAACATACCAGTAATTGAATATTGTTCCATTTGTCCACTTCCAAGAATTCTCTGGTTCCTTGTTCAATCCAATCCAGTGCATAGAAGTTCCTGTGTGGCTCTTCAAAAATTCCTTCCACAAAGCACAGGGAATCATCCATTATTTAATATTTTAAAGCACATTAATAAGCATGCTTATTACACCAACCACACCTCTTTTATGATTTGGTGAATCATGATTGTATTGTGAGAAACTCAAAACTTGGCAGTTCAAACCCATTAACCAGGTTATAAGAGAAAGATAGGAAATCTTCCATAAAAGTGTACAGCTTTGAAAATCGGTAGAGGATCACTTTAAATTAAAAGTCACTTGTTGACAATGGGTTTGATATTATCACTTGCAAGTAAGATTCTGCTGAAAATTTTCCAAAAAATGACTAGAGCAGTATGTCAACAGAGAATTGCCATATATGCAGGCTCTGTTTAGAAGAGGCCATGGTATTAAGGATATTATAGCTAATGTTAGATGAATCTTGGCTGAAAGGATAGAGTACCAGAGAAATGTCTATCTGTGTTTCATTGACTATGCAAAAGCATTTGGCTGTGTGGTTCACAACAAACTGTGGCTGACTCTGACAAGAGTGGGAATCCCAGAACTTTTGATTGTGCTTATGCAAAAACCTATACTTGGACTATGAGGCTGTCAGAACAGAAAAAGTAGAAACTGTATGATTCAAAATTGGGAATTATGTACACCAGGGATGTATTCTTTCTCCATACTTTTTTCAATCTATATGCAAAACTGGTCATCCAGGGCCATTGTACATAGGGTTGCTATGAGTCAAAAATGACTCCATGGCACATAACAACAACTACAATGCTTGTATAGGAAGAAAGAGTGCTGTTAAGTTTTCCCACTATGAAATCTTTCATAATACAAAATGGCAAAAAATAATGAAGGAATAATCACTAATTTATATAATAGGTTTTGAGTAGTCAGCATGCAGCCAGGAGTGACCAGTTCTTAAAGAAGGACATCAAGCTCAGAAAGGTGAAGGGATAACACAGAAGAAGACAACCCTGGATAAGATGGATTGATACAGTAACCTGAGTCATGGGGGTTGTGTGTTGGAATCAATAAGACTGGCTCAGGACACAGCAGGCTTCAGAACAATTGTACATAGGATTGCTATGAGTCGCAGGTGACTTGACGACACATAACAATAACAAATCTAAAAAAACAGCCAAACAAATTATGTAAAATATCATGTTGTTTTTGTGTTATGTGCCATCAAGTCACCTGCGACTTATAGCAACTCAAAGTACAACAGCCCTAAACCCTGCACTATCTTGTGCTGATTTTATTGTCTCCAACACACCTACCCCATTACCTCACTCACAGAATCAATCCATTTCATTGATGTTGCTCCTCCTCTCTTGTGCTATCTATCTCTCCACCCTTTTAAGCATGATGTCCCTCTGCAAGGACTGGTTCCTCTATGCAACATGTCCAAAGTAGGTCAAATGAAGCTTCAGAATCCTTGCCTTCAAGAAGCAGCCTGGTCTCACTCTCTCTAGGATGAATCTCTTTGTTGTCCTAGCTGTCCATGATATATTCAATACTCTTCTCCAGCACCAAAGCTCAAAAGCACCAATTTTACTTCTATCATCCTTAGTTATTATCCAGCTTTTTGATGCATGGCAAGTAATTGTAAAGACTCTGGCCTGGATTAGGTGCTCCTTAGTCTTCAGACTGATATCGTTGCTCTTCACTATTTTGGAAAGGTCCCTGATAGCAGATTTTCACAGTGCAATTCGTCTTTTAATTTCCTGGCTGCTAGTACCAACAGTATTGATTGTGAAGCCAAACAAACTATAGCTGTTAACAATCTCAATCTCCTCACAATCTATCATGCTACTGCCAATCAGCCCAGTGATGAGAAACTTTGTTTTCTTAATGTTGAGCTTCAATCCACATCAAAGACTGTAGTTCTTGATCTTCTGCAGCAAGCACTTCAGCTCCTCCTCAGTTTCAACAAACAGGGTTGTGTCATTTGCATAAAGTAGATTGTTGATGACTTTTCCTCCAATCCTGATGTCACATTTCTCCTCATAGAGTCCAGCCTCCCAGATAATCAGTTCTGTATTTAGATTGAAAAGGTTTACAGCCAAAGCCATTATCAGAGGTCAATTTATAGCAATTAGCAAACACATCAAAAGGCAGGAAAAATTTACCATTGACTCTCTAACCCAACATCTCCAACAAATTGAAAAAAAAAAAAACCAACAAGAAAACCTGACACCCTTGGAAAAAAAGCTGAAATTATAAAAATTAGGGCAGAAAGAAATGAAATAGAAAACAGAAAAACAAGTGAAACCATCAAGAAAACCATGAGTTAGTTCTTTGACAAGGTCAATAAAATCAACAAAACATTAACAAAACTAACAAAGGAAAAGACATAAATAATCCAAATAAGAGATGAAACAGGCAATATCATAATAAAAACAACTAAAATAAAAAGGTTAACAATGGAAAATTATGAAAAACTATACTCAAACAAATATGAAAACTTAGAGAAAATGGACAATACTAGAAAATCACAAACTACCTAAACTGACACAAGCCTAAATTAAATACATGAACAGACTCATTACAAAAGAAGAAATTGAAAAGGTAAAAAAACAAACAAACAACAACAAAAAAAAAACCCCAACAACTTCCAGCGGAAAAAAAAAAAAAGCCCTGGACCAGATGGTTTTACAAGGGAATTTTATTAAACTTTCCAAGAAAAACAGTGACCAATTCTATATAAACTCTTACAGAAAATAGAAAAAGGTGGAGTTCTCCCGTACTCATTCTATGAACCAAACGTATCCTTGATACCAAAGTCAGGTAAAGACACCACCAAAATAGAAAACTATAGGCCAGTATCTCTCATAAACATAGATGCAAAAAGCCTGAATAAAATTCTGGTCAATAGAATCCAATGACAAATCAAAATATAATTCACCATGACGAAGTGAGATTCATAAAAGGTATGCAAGGATGGTTCAACATAAGAAAAACAATACCCATCACTAATAATAGCTAACCACAAGATTAAATACTTGGGAGTAAATCTAACTAGAAACATAAAGTATCTATTCTAAGAAAATTACAAAACATTATTGCAAGAAACAAAAAGAGACCTGGAGAAATGGAAGGATATCCCTTGCTCATGGTTAGGAAGACTCAATATTTTGAAAATGACAATCGTACCAAAGGCAATCTACACATTCAATGCAATTCCAATACAAATACCAATTCCATTCCTCAACAAGATGGAAAAGGCAATTTCTAATTTCATTTGGAATGGAAAGAGACCCCAAGTAAGCAAAGCACTCCTTAAAAAGAGAATCAAGGTAGGAGGCATCTCACTCCCGATTTCGAATCCTACTACACTACCATGGGTGTCAAGAAAGCATGGTACTGGTGCAATGAGATGTGGAATAGAATTGAGAACCCAGAAATCAGCACATCTACCTATGGTCAACTGATTTTTGACACAGATATGAAATCAGTTAAATGGGGAAACAACAGCCTTTTTTAAGACATGGTGTTGGCAAAATTGGAAAACTATCTACAGAAAACTCAAACAAGACTCATACCTCACACCATACACAAAAACCAACTGAAAGTAGATCAAAGATATAGGACTAAAACCAAGGACTATAAACTTCATTAGTGAAAAGCTCAGAAGAACCCTAGAAGCACTGATCCACAACATAAACAGTCTTCCAAGCATCCTGAAAAACCTACAAACAGGAGAGAGTAAAATTGATGAATGAGACCTTCTAAGAAACAAATCCCTATGCACATGCAAAACTTTTCCAACAGGGTAAAAAGGGAAGCCATAGAATGTAAATGAGTATTTGATAATGACATGTCTGATAAGGGACTTATATCTAGAATTTATAAAATATTCGAGCACAACAAGAAGATAAAAGTAAACAACCCAAATGGAAAATGGGCACAGGATATGAACAGACACTTCACCAAAGAAGACATTCAGATGACAAACAAACACATGAAGAAATGATCACTATCCCTAGTTCTAAGAGAGATGCAAATCAAAACAACTATGAGATATCATCTCACCCCAGTAAGACTAGCAAAATACAATAGAGCAGCAAACAAAAAATGCTTATGAGGTTGTGGAGAACCTGGAAACCTTATTCACTGTTGGTGGGAGTACAACCACTATGGAAGGCAGTATGGTTCTTTCTCAAAAAGTTGGAACTAGAAATCTCATTTGACCCAGCAATTCCACTACTGAATATACCCTAAAGAAAACAGAATTGGTAGATATACGCACACCCATGTTTATTGCTGCTTTGTTCTCAATTGCAAAATCACCTGTGTCCATCAACAAACGAATGGATAGAAAAGCTGTGGTATATTCACACAATGGAATGTTATGCAGCACTGAAAAGCAAAGCTCTGAATATAGGAAAGGAAAGGAAGTGAAGGGAGGGGAGGGGAGGGAAGGGAAGGGAAGGAAAGAGAAGGGGAGAAAAGGTTTAGACATAAAACACTTCGCTGTTGTACACCCATCCCCATTTGAACCATGTAGTGTTTCCTTGCTCTGTTCTGACTGCCTCCTAGTCCAAGTATAGTTTTTTGCAAAAGTATAATCAAATGTTCTGGTATTCCTATTCTTGTCAGAGTCAGCCACAGTTTGTGTGATCCACACAGTAAAATGCCTTTGCGTAGTCAATAAAACACAGATAGATATACCTCTGGTACCATGCTTTCAGCCAAGATCCACCTAACATTAGATATAATATCCCTATAAAGTCTAAAATAACACTGATTATTTGATGCTTAGGTCCTGAATGTAGTTAATTCTCCAAGAAGTGCCAATCTTGCTGCTTAGGAGGCATTCTGCATCACATCACTACAAAATCCACACTGAGAACTGTTTTCAACCCTTTTCATAAAACCAAAAACCTTCTTTGAGTTTGTTTTGGTTAGTGAAAACAAGAACTAATGTAGGTCTTTTTAAAAGCTGGTGCTTTTGAACTGTCTGCCTTTGGGGTGCTAGTGAAACTCCTTACTAAGTCACCAGAGCTCTCTATGCTCTTTTGAGTAGGTACCACAATAAGAATGCTCTTGCTGTTCTGTACTTTCTCATACAATCAAACATAAAAGAAAACTTTTTAATAAATAAGATTTCTGGAGAAAGAGAGAACTAAGTAATGGGCTTCATGTTTCTCTTATTGACTTCTTGTTATTAGTCAAAAACATCAATTATGTTAGGTTTCCTATACAAAAGGCACAAATTTGTTTTTAATTCTGCCTACAGTACAAGGTGTTCTTTCTTTGCTCTCTTTTACTTCCAATTATTGTCTTACTTTTCAAAGTACCTACACATGTCTATTACATCCTCATATCTAATTCCAAAACTATTTTTAATTATAATTTAATTATTTTCTAGGTTATTTTTGGTAGTATGTAAACGTAATAACATTGAAAACAATAAATTAGACAACAGAAGAATATTTAGTGATGATATTTTACTATGCACAAATTTTCTTCAGTGGTTATTAACATGGACTCATGACTTGAATGCACATATCAGCTTGATAATTTATTGCTATGTGATGTTAGGCTACATAATATTCCTGAGCCTCACTTTACTCACCTTTAAATTAGGGACACTATTATGTTTATGACCTGAGGAATGAAATGGTATATTACTCTGGAGATGAAAAGGAGAGGAAAAATGGAGTTGATTTCATAGTTAAGAAAGTCATTTCTAGATCCATCTTGAAGTACAATATTGTGAGTGACAGGATAATATGCAAATGCATACAAGGAAGGCCAGTGAATACAATATGCATCAACAACCAGAGCCAAGGAAAAGGAAATAGAAGACTTTTACCAACTTTTACAGTCAGAGATCGATCGAACATGCAATCAAGATGCATTGATAATAATGGGTGACTGGGATGCAAAAGTTGGGAACAGAGAAGAAGATTCAGTAGTTGGGAAACATGGACTCCATGACAGAAATGGAGCTGGAGAGAGAATGATTTAATTTTGCACAATCAATGACTTATTCATTGCAAATACATTTTTTAAGAGACATAAACACAGGTTACATACATAGATTTCACCTGATGGTATGCATAGGAGTCAGATTGATTACATATGTGGAAAGAACCACTGGAGAAGCTCAATATCAGCTGTGAAAACTAGACCAGGAGCTGATTGTGGAACAGACCACCAACTCATATGCAAGTTCAAGCTTAAGCTGAGGGAAATTACACCAGATTCACGGTAACAAAAATATGACTTTGAATTTCAAATTTCTGAATTTCAGAACCATCTCAGGAACAGGTTTGAGGCCTTGAACACTAATGAGTGAAGACCAGATGAGTTGTGGGAGGATATCAAGGGCATCATCCGGCAAGAGCGCAAATGGTTATTACAAAGCCAGAAGAGGAAGAGAAGACTAAAATCGATGTCAGAAGAGACTCTGAAAATGGCACTGGAGCGCAGAGAAGCCAAAGCACAAGGAAGAATTCAAGACACTAAAGAGTTGAATAGAAGATTTCAAAAGGCAGCACAGGATGACAATGTAAAATATTATAATGAAATGTGCAAGGAGTTGGGAGTCAGAAAAACAAAAGGGCTGAACTCAGCATTTCTTTTTTTTATGCAAGATTTTAATCTTGAGGTTAGGGGTATTAACAGATCTTTATTAAGACTTCAGCATTTCTTAAGCTCAAGTAACTGAAGAACAAATTTAAACCTTGAGTTGCTATAATCAAGGATGCTTTAGGCAGAATATTAAATGGTCCAGGAAGTATTAAAAGAAGATGGAAAGAAATTATAATGAGCCACTATATCAAAATGCAGACACAGAAGAATTTAATGAAACAATATACGAGCAAGAGCCTATGGTGATGAAGGAAGACGTTGAAGCTGCTTTGAAGGAAATAGCAAAAAATAAGGCCCCCCAGAATAGATTGTATACCAATTGACATATTTCAGCTAACAGATGCTGCCCTGGACGTGCTCACCAAGTTGTGCCAAGAAATCTGGAGAACAGCCACTTGACCAACTGACTGGAAGAGATCTATATTTGTTCCCATCCCAAAGAAGGGTGACCCAACAGAGTGTGGAAACTATAGAAAATTATCATTGATTTCACATGTGAGCAAGATTCTACTGAAGATTATCCAAAAATGACTGGAACAGCACATCAGCAGAGAATTGCCAGAAGTCCAGGCTGGGTTTAGAAGGTGTCATGATACTAGGGATATTGTAGCTAATGTTAGATGGATCTTAGCTGAAAGCAGGAATGTATATCTGTGTTTCATTGAGTATGCAAAGGCGTTTGTGTGGATCATAACAAACTGTGGCTGACTCTGAGAAGATTCGGAATACCAGAACACTTGATCGTGCTAATGAAAAACCTATACTTGAACCAAGATGCAGTCATCAGAACAGAGCAAGGACACACTACATGGTTCAAAATTAGGAAGGGTGTACCCCAGGGATGTGTCCTGTCTCCACACCTTTTCAACCTATATGCAGAGCAGATTATCTGGGAGACTGGGCTCTATGAGAAGAAGTGTGGTGTCAGGATTGGTGGACAATTCATCAACAATCTGCGTTATTTAGATGACACAACCCTGCTTGCTGAAACTGAGGAGAACCTGAAGTGCTTGCTGCAGAAGGTCAAGGACTGCAGCCTCCAATATGGTTTGAGGCTCAATGTAAAGAAGACAAAGATTCTTACCATTGGACCAATTGGCAGCATCAGGATGGATGGTGAAGAAATTGAGATTGTTCATAGCTTTAGTTTGCTTGCTCCACAGTCAACACTCTCGGCACCAGCAGCCGGGAAATTAAAAGACGTATTGAGATGGGAAATTCTGCTGTTAGGGACTTCTCCAAAGTACTGAAAAGCAATGGTGTCTCTCTGGAGACTAAGGTGCATCTGATACAGGCCATGATCTTTGTTATCACTTGTTATGCATCAGAGAGTTGGACAATGACTAGGGAGGATAGAAGGAGAATTGATGCCTTTGAGCTGTGGTGTTGGAGAAGAGTATTGAGGGTACCATGGACTGCTAGGAAAACAAACAGATTCATCCTGGAAAGGGTTAAACCAAGCAGCTCCCTGGAGGCAAGGATTCTGTGGCTCTGTCTAACATACTTTGGACATGCTGTAAGGAGGGACCTATCCTTGGAGAGGGACATCATGCTTGATAGGGTGAAGAGACAGTACAGGAGGGGAACACCCTCTATGAGGTGGATTGATTCAGTGACTGGTGTAATAGGGGTGGGTGTGTCGCAGACAGTGCGATTGGCACAGGACAGAGCAGAGTTTAGGGATGTTGTACATAGGGTCACTATGAGTTGCAAGTGAGTTGACAGCACATAACAACAACATTATGTTTATAAAGGACTAATGAGTAGAGTTGCACTGTCAGCCTAAAGATAAGTGGTTCCAATCTACCAGCTGCTCTGGAGAAAAAAATGAGCAATTACATGTGATTTACAGCCTCTGAAAATCCACTGTAGGCTCACCTATGAGTCAGTTATGACTCAATCACAAATAATAACAGCAACTACATCGGTAAAAAGCTCCGATGGCATAGTTCACAGAGAGTTTTGCTGCTAACGCAAAGGTGAAGCCTCTCTGCCAGTTAGAATTCACCAGTGGCCCTGTGACCCAGTGGAGAAAGATAGGCAATCTCTTCCTGTGATTTTTCATGTCCCTGAAAACCTGCTGGAGCACAGGTGACATAAACAATAGAGAGTTGTATAGATAATTCATAGTTTGCAAAACATGGGAGGTTCAAACCGACCAGTGGGTATGTGGGAAAAAGATGGGCAGTCTCAGCACTGCAAAGAAGGGTTACTGTGAGTTGGAATCCACTCATCCGCAATGAGATTTGACTGTACCTATCTCAAGACATATGTCTTTGAGATGGGGCATTTCAAGTGCTCTTCAGAGGCAAAAGTGATAAGGCTGCTTCTCACATACTTTGCTTAGGAGAGGCTATCCTGCCCCTTAGGAGGGGGCATCATGCTTGGAAAGGTGGAGGGTCAGAAAAAGAGAGGAAGAACCTCAACCAAATGGATTGACATAGTGACTGCTGCAATGGGCCTGAAAATATTAAAGATTGTGAAGATGGTTCAGGATAGGAAAGGGTCCAGAGCTGTTGTTCATAAGATCATTATGAGTCATACTCAACCACACCTCACAACAACAACAATTTCATAAACAGAAGTTCAAGATTACATGCATTATTATAAGTATAATGCTTAAGAAAGAATTACATACTATTAACTGTTATCAATTTTATTCTCTTTGTACAAACTCAATTTCTGACATGCTTAGCAACTTCCCCTGTAATTACCATATCCTTTTGTGTGTCAATCTGAGCTAGTTCTGATCCATGTGAATTACAATATCTTCTACTGTTTGACCAATTACTGGTATCCGCAGAAAAATAAAAGCATTTCTCTCCAAATCCCCTCCAGTCTCCAGAACAAGCAGGAATTTTTGGACATTTTAGTCTGGAAAACAATACTGTTAAGAGAAAGAAATTATAATTTAGGATAGTTTAAAATTATTTCTGTACTTCCTGTTGACTCAATTTTACTTTTCATTACTAAGGTTGGAGGACTTTATGTTTGTTTATATGAAGATTAAGGAGTCTAATTTCTTTTTCTCTCAAGTAATTGAGCAGTTTATGCTTTACCACACTTTCTTTACTCTCAGATGTTGCAGACTGAGGGTAAAATAATTTTATCATTATTGATAATGAGACATAGAGCTAGGAATGAGCTAGAGCAGAGAGCATAAAACAGGGGGCCATCAGGTCTTGACTGAAGACCCCAAGTCATGTTTCTCTGTGTATTTATTGATAATCAGGGGAACCAAATCATAAAAGGAATTCCTTGTAAATGAAGCCGAATTTTTCTCCATTATCAACCTAATGCTCTAGCTCAGGAAGTATTTCACAGGTAGTAACACTTCCTCTGTAGATGGCCCCTAGCTGTCTCCTGTCTGCAGTGAACAAACAGCTCATTTTCTGTGATCTGCCACAAGAGAAATCCTTCAATTCCTGAACAAGGGTTTTCATATAACATTTGGTATAAAGTTTGGATTTCCATACTTAGAATTAATATTTATCTTTGGCTTCTTTTAAAAAAAACAGAACACTTAAAAGCATGACAATTTTTATTTTTATAAATCTTGCAAAATTCATTGAGTCATTCTTTTCCTTTTCTTAAAAATGTGTTTCATTTTATTATTTTATTTTACTATTTTTGTGTGTGTGTACCATCAAATTGGATCTAACTGGTGCCGGAGGAGATTGCACCTCTTTTTCCAGCTGAGCATCTGGTGGATTTGATCCGCTCTTTTCCTTTTTTAGCATAAGGTAATAGGAATAAGTAAACATTTCACAAAACAGTCATTTCCAATCCCAAATATAACAATGAAGAATTATTGTTATTATAAGGCAATAATGTATGGTAGTTAAAATATCAGATGCTAGAGTAACAGATAAGAATCAAACTCATAGACATGGCATTCATACTTGTCAAAAGTTATTTATTCACTTAGGCCTCTGTACTACTATCTTGAAAATTAATTTTTAGGAACATTTCTGTGCCATTTTCTCATAACAATTGAATGTAAAAAAATCAAAGAATAAAGTATTTTAAAAAGGACCTGAGTGGTGTAGTGTATTAATTTGGCTGCTAAGTGACTGTTTGAATCTATGTGGCAGTATCCTACCAAAAATTTACAGCTTGGGCAACCTAGTAGAGGGTTTCCAAGAGTCAAAATTGACTGGATGGAGTAGATTTGTTTTGGTCTTGGGTGGTGATAACAGTTAGTGTGCGACTATTAAAGGTTTATGGTTCAAAACCTTTAAGAGGTACCATGGAATATCTTCCGTCTTTCTCCACAAACACTACAGCCAAGAAAATTCTATGGATTAGTTCTATTCTGCAAGATATTGATTCCATTATTTCAGAAATATTACTTGCAATGGCAATTAAAAAAACTGTTACTATTGATAACTGGCTGATGATCATCTTTAAATTTTAAAGTATTTTATTTTAAGGAGTCAAAAACTTCTACATCAAGAAAATAGGTCTATCATGAAACTGAGAGTATTTTTTAAATAGAAATAAGAAATACGGAAAAATCTGACAAACTGGGAGAAAGCAGAGGACAAATATCTACAAATCCTTTTATAGCTCTATAAATGAGAGATCCCTCTTAAATTTTGACATTATAAACATTTGGGCACTATGAACAAAAAGAATCATAGAAAATTTGTAAATTAAGCTACTTACCTATTGAAGAAATAAACATAATAATCACTATAATCCATACAACATACTTTATAGTAATACACCATGTTTGTTTTGGTTTCATTAAGGTAGCTGCAAAAAAAAAAAAATCTACAGTATGGTCTCTGAAGAAACTAGTATCTATGACATATATTGATAATTTATTATTTTCCTGTAATAATTTCTGAAGAAACCCTCATTAAAATTATCTATTTTTGATCATAATGAAGGATATAAAGATACTGCAAAATGAAAAGCAGATAAGTATGAATGATTTGTATAGTTTTCTGATAGGAGTGGTATTGTGGAAATCACTTACAATTTAGACAATGCAGACAGAAACGGGAGAAGAGTGGATACATAATGAACACTCTACTGGAACAGATGAGGAAAATAACTATTTGAAAGGGATATATAACTAGACATTGTATTTATGACAGCAATGTGGAACAATAGATGCATTACAAAAAGTAGACCAAAGGAGGGGAACAAAAGAGGAGGCAAGAAGTTCAACAATAAATGAAGGAAAACCCAATATTTCTGTGAATATCTGTTAAAATGACAACAAGAAAAAAGTTTAAAAAAAGGTGGAAACAGAATTGGGGCTACTGTTGTGGTTATGTGCTGTTGAGTTACCTGTGACTCATAGGGACCTTATATACAACAGCCCTAAACTCTGCCCTATCCTGTGCCAATCAAACTGTCTTTGGCACCCTTACCCCCATTACTCCAGACACTGAATGCAGCCATCTCATTGAGGGTCTTCCCATCCTGTACTGTCCCTCCACCCTCCCTGGCATGACGTCTCTCTCGAAGGACTGGTCCCTCCTTGCAACATGTCCAAAGTATGTCAGACAAAGCTTCAGAATCCTTGCCTCCAAGGAACAGCCTGGTTTAACCCTCTCTAGGATGAACCTGTTTGTTTTCTTAGCAGTCCACGGTATATTCAATACTCTTCTCCAGCACCACAGCTCAAAAGAATCAATTCTCCTTCTATCATCCCTAGTCATTGTCCAACTCTCTGATGCATAGTAAGTAATTGCAAAGACCATAGAATGTATTAGGCACACCGTAGTCTCCAGAGTGACATCGTTGCACTTCAGTATTTTAGAGAGGTCTCTAACCACAGACTTTCCCATAGCACTACGTTGTTTAATTTCCTGGCTGCTGGTGCCAAGAGTGTTGACTATAGAGCCAAGCAAACTAAAGCTGTGAACAATCCTCATCTCTTCACCAGCCATCATGATGCTGCCTATCAGACCAGTGGTGCTACTAGTAATAAGAAATTTAAAGGTGATTAACAGAACTATGAAAAAAGATGAGAAATAAAAGTAGTAAAATGTTATGCCTGAAGAACTTACCTGCAAAGATGACTTTTTTCCATTTATTTTATGAGCAATAAAGGATAAATTTAATGTAGTATAGCAAGAAAAATATCAGATGAAATCAGTTATTGTGGTGAACAGAACAGATTAGAGAAATAAGAGAGCATTAGAATCTATGGAAATATTATTGTTTTTGTAATTGTTGTTGAGTATTATCAAGTTTGAGCTGATCCATAGCTGACCCTCCAGTGGGTTTTCGGAGGCAGTTAATCATACAGGAAGAGACTGGCCATTCTTCTGCAGAACAGCTGGTGGATTCAAACTGTTTGCCTTTGAGATTGCAGAGCAGTTTCTTACCACTAAACAATAGATTAAGAATACATAATAATGCTACCAATGAGAAATAACTTAGTCTGGTAAACTGTAAAATGATGTAGACATTATCTTGGCAAAATATATATTGTTGTTATACAATGTCAAGTCATTTATGACTCATTGAGATCCTATGTGCAACTGCTCTAAACCCTACTCTACCCTGAGACAACCTTATTGTCTTTGACACACCTTCCCCCATTATCCTGGTCACTCAGTCAATACACTATTACTGTTGTTGTTGTTAAGTGCCATTGAGTCAAGCACAACTCATAGAGAACCTGTGAGCAAAAGACTTGAACTTTGTTCTATACCTATTGTACTTTATCTAAGTACATGGAGGTTCCAGAGGCATGTTGTTTAGAAAGTTGATTCTGCTTCTGCTTTCAAACTTTTCTTCATCTGTGAGCTCCACCAAACACTGTCCACCATGAACAATCTTTATGGCATTTGACATACCAGTAGCACAGTGTTCTGTATCACAGCAACCCCAAGTTACCTCAGTAAAGCAAATTAACAGACCAGTGCTGTACCACTTAGAAGAATGTTCATTCCAAACACAATTAACATCAGGCCCATGAGCTGTAGGCCCAAGGGCCCAACGAACTTTTATATATACAGGCCCACCCACAAGGTACTAACTGGCTCTTAACAAGAGGCTTCCAGTCCACAGCTCATTGTTAGACAAATCCAGAAAATCTAATCAGTTCACAGAAGATTGTGGGGGGAAAAAAACCAAAACTACCAAACAAACAAACAGTCCACACCCAACCCTCAACCAAAACAAGAAGAAAGTACCATTCAGAATCCAACTACTTCACACATGAGCCTTGTTTTCATTGTTGTTATGTGCAATTGAGTCACCTGTCACCCATGTCCTGTCACTCTGAACCCTGTCCTGTACTAAGCCAGTCTCACTAATTCCAACACACAAACCTCCATTGCCCCAGTCACTGTATCAATACATCTCATCAGGGTCTTCCTCTCCTATGTTGTCACTCCATGCTCCCAAGCATGATTTTTCTTTTCCAAGGACCAGTCTCTCTTAGTCACGTATCCAAAATATGTGAGATCCAGTTTCAAAATACTGACTTCCGAGGAGAAACTTGGTTTTACCTTCACTAAGACATATCTATTTGTTTTCTTGGCAGTCCAAGGCATGTTCAAGACTATTCTCCAGCACAATAATACATAGGTATCAATTCTTTTGTGATCCTTAGTAATTGTTCAGCTTTCCAATATTATTTTTAATCTGTTAATAATGTGCCAATAAAGCTGTATGTACTAGAGTAGAAAAGGGAATTTGAAGAGAGAAAAAGTGTATTTTATAAAGATACAAAAACTTACCTTCCCTGCTCAGAGAAGCCTTGTTTTTTTTTGTTGTCATGTGCCATTGAGTTGCCTGTGACTATGTACAACAGCCCTAAACCTTGCTCTATCCTGTGCCAATCTTATTGTCTCTGACATACCTATGCCCATTATCCCAGTCACTGAATCAATCCATCTTATCAAGGGTCTTCCTCTC